ATAATCAGCTTGCAATCAATCTGCAACTTGATGTTGATTGTGGGGATTTCCAGAGGCAACGACATACAAAATCAACTTGTAGTCGATTTGCACACTGATTTTCATTGTGGGGTTCCAGGCGCAGCGCCTTCGGCCCGCGGACGCTTACCAGGAAAACGTGTAAAGCAGGAGAAAACAAAAAAAGCTTGTCTGTCGCCACGTTTATTAATACAACAAATGAAGATGCTGACAGTTGCAGGTTTGCTGTGTCTTTTCTCACTTTCCCATGGGAGAGCTCAAGCTTTTCCATGTCTTTCATGTTCTTCTTGTTTTCCTGGTAAGCTTCCGCGGCCCAAGCACTGCCTTTGGAATTCCCCAGCGTCAACATCAATTTGTAAATGGATTACACATTGATGTTGATTGTGAGGATTTCCAGAGGCAGCAACAATCAAAATCAATGTTTAATATGGTACATAATTGATTTTCATTGGGGAATTCTAGACGCAGCGCATTGGACGGCGGAAGCTCACCGGGAAAACATAAAACAGAACAGCAAAAACAAGACAAAGCTTGTGTTTTCACAGGGAAAATAGGAAGGACTAGAACACCGTAAAATGCTGACAGATACAGGTTGTCTTTGGTTATTCCTATTTTGCCATGTGAAAATACAAGTTGTTTTATATGTTTTTCCTGTTTTTCTTGTTTTCCTGGTAAACTTCCGCGGCCCAAGTACTGCCTCTGGAATTCCCCACAATCAAATCAATGTGTAAATGGATTACACATTGATGTTGATTGTGAGGATTTCCAGAGGCAGCAACAATCGAAATCGATGTGTAATCCATTTGCACATTGATTATGATTGTTGGGAATTCCAGAAGCAGCGCCTTGGGCCGCGGAAGCTGACCAGGAAAACAGGAACAACCGGAACAACAATAAAAAGCTTGTGCTTCCACATGGGAAAATATGGAAAACTAGAGAAAACTTGTATCAGCCAGCATTCTCATGTGTTTTATGAATACAAATGGCGACAGTCACATGTTGTATGTTGTTTTTATCTTTCTCCCTGTGAAAATATGTGTTGTTCCTGTTTGTCATATTTCTCTTCTTTTCCTGGTAAGCGTCTGCGGCCCAAGGCGCTGCCTCTGGAAATCCCCACAATCAAAATCAATTTGTAAATTGATTCCACATTGGTTTGAATTGTCGCTGCCTCTGGAAATCCATACAACCAAAATCAATATATATATATATATAAATGAATTACACATCGATTTTGATTGTCGCTGTCCCTGGAATCCCAGAATCAAAATCAAAGTGTAACCCCCCTCAAACGAAATCAATTTGACAATTCCAACAAGCAAAGTCAATTTGTAAACCCCCAATCACGAAACCAATTGTTACACCGAGTGACCCGGTACTTAGGCGTGGCGGCGGAATTGGCAGAAAGCCATGCGATATAAGCGCAAAAGTGCGTTTTTGTGCCATGTGGCCACCGTTCACACAGAGATACGCCATCGAAACAACATATGTGTTCAACTACAGGAATTGAGGTCTAAGCCTTTGGCATCCGCCTAGCGCCGCTGGCACTTTGCAGGCGCGGCGGCACTGCTGCGCTTACGCTGATTAGTTTTCTTCGCCGCCTGTGGGTGCTGCCACTCTTCTATTGACTTAAAGCTCGGCATCTTCACATGCCCTAGCTCAAGCTGCCGCCGTAGGAGAGCCATGGCGTGGGCGTGGCAAGACACTGGCGAAAGCTTCGGCTTCTGGCGCCCTTTTTTCATGCGCACTGAAACCACCCTGTCGAACGTGAGCAGGTCCAACGTTAACTTGCAACGCTGGCGAGTCGAGGCGAACACGTTCGTGCTGTATGCTTTCAGTTTGGACAGAACTGCTTCGTTTGGAGTGGTTCCATACTGACACGACAAGCCCGTTCTCATCCTGTACACGGGGATGTTGTGGTAATAGAAGAATTTTGCGGGCGCCGCGTATCGTGAAAAAGGATCACCGACCGTAGACTTTGCGTTGCGGCCTATAGGTGGTTTTTGGCACGACCTCACGTTCTGGCCCATGGCTGCCGTAATGTCGACGCAGTACTGCTTATGGATCACGTAAGCCTTGCTCTGTCAAGCTGCATTCTGCAACCGCTCGTAAGCCTTGCGAAGCTCCGCGGGGCGCGGCTCGAAGTCTACGTGCTTCCGACCCCTCGGTTGGCTTCCATCGAAATAGCGCTTCGCCTTTAGACTCGGCGGCGGCCTGCCATTGAACATGAAAGCGATTTTCTTGAAATCTCTGCTCAGCTGGTCGCCCTCCTTGATTAGCCTCACGGGGTCTATCCATGCGTGCAGAGGGCCCCCGCCCACACATTTGAGAATCGGGAAGATCCTCCGCGCTTTCTGCAAGCCACCTTTCTCTGGCGTATATTTTCATATTTTCCAACACGCAACAAAAACTGCATGACACGCATCACGTGCGAGATAAGGGCGTGCATTCTCCAAGCGGGGTTGCGTTCCTTCTCCTTGAATTTGTTTGTTTTGAATGAAAAGACAACGGGTAAAGCAAACACGTATTGAAACCATGAGTTTTCATATTTCTCAAAACATAGCAAACATTGAGATGACACGCGCAATTTGCGAGATAAGTGCGTGCGTTATTCAAACGGGGTTGCGTTCCTTCTCGTGGAATGCGCTGGTTTTGAATGAAAAATGCACACCGAGCAAAGAAGTATTGAACTCATGTTTTTTATATGTTCCAAGACACAGCAAAACGTGCATGACACGCATCACTTGCGAGATAAGGATTTGCATCATTCAAGTGGGGGTGCGTTCCTTTTCGTGTCCCCTTTCGTCGCTCGTTTCTGGGAAGGCATCCGAAAATGGGATGCCCGTTTTTTCAGCGAGGCACCCCGTTAGGCTCTGGAAATCAGCATCCTTTCTGGGAGAGCATCTCGCAAGGCTCTCAGCGCTGCTCACGCCTCGTAGAAATTCACAAGGTCTCTGGCCGTGTAATAGCTGGCCTGCACGACGCGCAGGCGGCGCTGGAGGTCGGTGTTGCGTTTCTTCTCTTTGCGCAGCTCTTCGTCCCTCTTCAAGTTCTCGCAGATCTTGAGCGACGCTGCCTTCAGTTTCGCCGCCGTCGTGGGCAGTTTTTGTTCCGCCTGCTCCCGCCCCTCCTTCTCAAAGGGAACGCAAACAATCGACATATGGAGGACTCGCCAAAACAACAACACTATTCACCGTTTTCTTTTGCAGGGGGCAATGCGTCGCTTGATTGCGCCCGCGATCCTTCAAATAATTTGTTTTCCGCGATTTCGCCTCCGCCCACGCCTGCTTGGCATCCTCGCGGTTGGCCTTGGCGTCGTTCTTGGCAGTCTTAGCGTTGCAGAAATGCATGTTGGACCGCTTCCTGCGGATCTACAAACATAAGTTTACGTATCAGTTCGAAAGAACACATATAATATTGAATTCTTGATTTGTGACACTGACCCACAAGATCCTGAGTTTGTCTGCGTCGGTCCGGTGCTCTTTGGCTGCCCGCTCACGGCGTCTCTTGAATTTCACTGCGGCCGTGCGGGCGCCCTCCGCCATCAAGCGCCGCGTTCGGGGCTACAGCAAAAATTGTCAAAGGCGTTCTTTGACCTTGTAGTCAGCGCTTTTCTTTAGTTTCGCCTGGTACGCTTCCGTGCCCTTTTTCAGGGCTCCCCATTCGGGCTGAAATTTTGTTTGATTTGAGCCAGAACTTCGGCACTGGGGAGGGGGGGAGGGGGGGGGAATGTGGAGAATGTGGAGGGGGGAATACGATGAAAGACAACCGTGGGAAATAAATAATACGATGAACAAGCATGATGAGTGAACTGATGATCGATAGCGTTCCAATCGCTAGGACATTCAACAAAACAGCCCCGCTGTAATCATACAAACAGCGGGTCGCACGGGTGCCCCCCAGTACACATCATGAAACCATGTCACGCTAAAACCAGTTCTGCCGCCCGATCCAAGGAGCGTCGGTGGCCACATGTGAACCCTACCCCCCTCCCGCGATCTCCAGGGGGTGGGCGTTCGCTTCTTTCGGGAGTTCCTGAGCGAAATGTGAACCACCAGCCCGCCCCCGTTAGGAATCATGGGCTGTGGTAGTAGGGTTCACATGTGGTCACTGGCCTAGAGCGACACCACCACCACCAGGGGTCGAGTGGGGGATCGACTATAGAATTGATGTGCCCGAAATTGGTTTTGCCCGTCAAAGTCTGCGATACATACGTAGGATGCCACGTAGAGTTACGGAGCATTCTACGCATTTGTCGTAGATTCGACGCTCGCCAGCGGTACCCGAAGAGCAGCGTCTACAGCACAGCCACACTTTGTGCAGCCTCAGGGGAAGAAGGAGCGGCACCACCCCTGAGGACCTGGCGACTCAACTTGTTCGGGCTGGGCATTTCTTCGTCCAGTTTCGGCCACGGGACCCCCAGTGATCGATCCAGCTCGGCAGATGGCGCACAAAGGTGGGGTTTTGGGGCTCTGGTCGTAATTCCTCACGATGTTTCATTCTTTTCGAGACGTCGTATTTCAGGGACCACCAGGGGGGTCATCGCCAGCGAGGAGCTCCACGATGCCTCCCCGAGCTGGGGAGAATGGCGGTTTCAAGCGAGGGGGGGGCCACGCCGCCATGGGGACCCCGACTGGGTCCTCCCGCTGGTGGTCCCTGGTGGTGGTCGTGTCTCTTTTCCTTGATCCTTGTTTGTACAGTCCGCGCAGATATCTCGGATTGGCGCTGATCCTTATCAGAGGCAATGTACCGATACCGCTACTCCTCCTTCGTCGCCGTGGCTGGACCCGCTCCACAACCGTGATCAGAGAGCACCCAGGGGGAGATTGGGGGAGTAGCGGTATCAGCGTTTCCCCAAGACCACCATTTTTGATACGCTAAGGGCGCCAGGGGTGGCGGTGGAGGCCCCCAGAGGGGGTCCAGTGCGGATCCTCGAACTTCGCGCGGTTTGACAGTTCATGTTTCTGCAGTTCATTCCCTTCTAGGTGCCCTGTTCGCCAAGGACGCCGTCGGGGGCTCTGGCGGCGATCGGGTCTGACGAATGGGGTGGATTGTCAGGGGCAGCGTTAGGGGTGGATAGGATCAGGGGGGGATGCTTCGGCACCCAACCGCCCATTCATTGCCGATCGAAGGCCCGATAGCCCACCCCGCCCAGGAACGTTCAGAATGGTCCTCCCTGTTGCCCCAGCCACCGCGCCGGACTCACCGGATTCACCGGATTCACTGGACACGTCGGCCACCGGACACACCGGACACACCAGACACACTGCAGTACACAACGGACACACCGGAAACACCAGACACACCGGGCACACCGGACATACCGGACCGACCGGACATACCGGACCCACGGGACCCACCAGACCCACCGGACTCGCCGGACTCACCAGACTCGCAGGACCCACCGGGTTCCCGGACTCACTGGACTCCCAGATCACCCGCCGATTTTGATTGTATTGGCGATAGTGTTGGTATTGAGATAAGGATTTGGATGATGATGAGTACGATGATGACTTGGATGTTGCAGCTGGCGGCGTTCACGATCGTGATAATTATGTTCTGGCTCTTTGCTTTTGAACGTTAGTGCTGATCAGGGTGATGGCGCCTATTCTGGCAATGCGCCCGTTGTTGAAGAAACGGGGAGGCTGACAACAAAATGAATGGTGCTGGTGAGGAGGAAGAGAGGAAAGCAGGTAGAGGATAGCATGTTATAAGGACAATTAATGCTGATTGTATTCGTGGTGATGATGCCCATTACAATGATGACGACGACGCTGATGATGACGAGGCTGAAGAGTGCGATGATGAAGATGATTTGTACGATCGTGGTGATGATTCCGTCGGCGGGGGACATGCTGATGACGATCATTGTAGCGATTTTGGTTGTGATGATGATTGTGGTGCTGATGTTGGGATGCCCGATTTTTGGATTATGATTGTAATGATGAGTACGATGATGACTTGGATGCTGCAGATGGCGGCGTTCACGATGATGAGGTTTCGGGTGATTTGCTTCTGATCGTTGATGCTGATCAGGGTGATGGCCCTTATTATAGCAACGCGCTCGCTGCTGAAAAGCGATGACGAAGACGACAGCATGAATGGTGTTGGTGAGGAAGAAAGGAGGGACAAATCTAGATGATAATTAATGATGAGGCATAGGATGATCATAACAACGACGATGGTAATGATGATGCTGGTTGTGTGTGTGTGTGTTGTGGTGGTGCCCATGACGATGATGATTGCGACGGCGACCATGATGCTGATGATGAGGCTGAAGCGTGTGCTTATGATGATGAGGATGGTTTGTACGATTGCGGTGATGACTCCGTCGACGGAGGATGTGCTGATGGCGATGTGTAGCGATTTTGATTGTGACGATGGTGGTGCTGATATTGAGATACTGATGTGGGCGATGATGACACGTACGATGATGATTTGGATGTTGCAAGTGGCGGCGCTCACGATAATTATGTTCTGGAGATTTGCTTCTGGACGTTAATGCTGATTAGGGTGATGGCGCTTATTGCGACAATGCGCATGTTGCTGGTGCGGATAGTGGTGACAAGTTAGCTGTTGATGGTAAGTTTTGCTCCCGCCCTGGACCTCGACCCCCAGGGATCCACGAAGGTCCCTGGGGGTCCCCGGAGATCCTGTGTTCGTGGTGGTGATGCCGATGATGAGAAAGAGCGTGTTCTACCGCTGCTGGCAGAAAACCGGGGGGGGGTCACTACGGGTTCGACCCCCCCCCCCCCGGGAAAACAGGGGGGGGTCACTGCCGGTTCGAACCCCCCCCCGTCCATCATGAAAAGGGGGGGTCACTACCAGTTCGAACCCCCCCCCCCTCGAAAACCGGGGGAGGGGGAGTCTTTACCGCTTCGAACCCCCCCCTCGAAAACTGGGGGGGGGGCGGACATCGGTGGGGAAGGTGGTGGTTGGTGGGGACAGTTTTGAGGAGACAGCGGGACAGTGGTGGGAACAGTGGGACAGTGGTGGGGACGGTAGTGGTGGGCACAGTGGCGAAAGCGGTGGTGAGGACAGTGGTGGGACAGTAGCACAGAGGGGAAAGTGGTGGGGACAGTGGGGACAGTGTGACAGTGATGTGGACAGCGGGGACGCTGGGACAGCGCAGTCGGACAGCGGCGGGGAGAGTGGGACAGTGGTGGGTGCAGTGGGGACAGTGGGACTGGAGGGGACCGTGGGGACACTGGGGAGAGTGGGTTCGTGGTGGGACAGTGGTGGGGAGAGTGGGGACATTGACTCTGGTGGGGGCACTGGTGGGGACAGCGGGGACAATGGTGGGAGCAGTGGGGACAGTGGGACAGTGGTGGGGACGGTGGTGTTGGGGACATTGGTGTGGGGACATTGGGAACGTGGTGGAAGCAGTGGGACCGTGGAGGGTACAATGGTGGTGGGGACAGTGGTGAGGGCGGTGGCGAGGATGGCGGTGGGACAATGGGACAGAGGTGCAGTGGGGACAGTGGTGGGGACAGTGGGGACAGTGGTGGGAACAGTGGAACAGCGCAGTGGGACAGCGGAGGAGACAGTAGGACAGGGGGGACAGTGGGGACGGTCGGGCAGTGGTTGGGTCCGTGGAGAAGGTGAGGAGAGTGGAACCGTGGTGAGAATACTGGTGGGGACAGTGGGGACAGTGCGACAGTGATGGGGGCACTGGTTGGGACATTAGGGACGGTGGTGGAACCAGTGGGGACAGTGGTGGTGAGGACAGTGGTGGTGGGAACAGCAGTGGGGGATGTGGTGCGGATGGTGGTAGGGACCGGGAGTCGTTTGCTGGCGGTGAGGGGGGGGCGGAGGGGTTCAAACTGATAGGGACCCTCTCCGGTTTTCGACGGGGAGCCGGGGGGGGGGCTCGAACCGGTAGTGACCCCCCCCCGGTTTTCGAGGGGGAGGTAGTGACCCCCCCAGGTTTCCCGAGTGGGGAAGGGGGGGTTCGAACCGGTAGTGACCCCCCCGCGGTTTTCTGAAGGGGAGGGGGTGGGGGAACAGGTAGTGACCTTCGCTCCGGCTTTCTGGGGGGCGGGGGGTTCGAACCGGTAGTGACCCCCCCCCGGTTTTCCGCAGGTGGGGGGGGAGGGGGTTCTCGAACTGGTAGTGACCCCACCCGGTTTTCTGGAGGGAAGGGTGGGGGGGGGTTAGGGGAGGGGTGGGGTTTTGCCGAGGGAACGGGAGGGGGGGGGCCCAGCAAGGGGGGGGGGATTTTCGGAGGGGGGGGGGAACCCCGGGTTCTTGAGGAAGAGGGGGGGGAATTTTCCACAGCATAGCGGCGGTGGATCACGCTCTCTCTCTCTCTCTCTCTCTTTTTAGTTTTTTGTGTTCTTTTTTTATATTGTTTTTTATTTTTTGTTTTCGTTTTTTGGTTGTTTTTTTTTTTTTTTTTCCTTTATTTTTTCCTTTTCTTATTTCTTTTTTTTTATTTTTTTTTTTTTTTTTTTTTTTTTTCTCTCTTTTTTTTTTTTCTTATTTTTTTTCTCTTGTTCTTTTTTCTTTTCTGTCTTTGTCTTTTCTCCTTTTTTTTTTTTTCTTTTCTTGCTTTTGTTATCTTCCTCTTCTTTTCTTGTTTTTTTTTCTTTTTTCTTTTGTTTCTTCTCTTTTTCTTTCCTCTTTCTTTTTTTTTCTCTCTCTCTCTCGATGATGATGATGATGATGATGATGATGATGATGATGCTGATGATGATGATGATGATGATGATGATAGGGATGATGATAGGGATGATGATGATTGATGGCGACAACGATGATGATGAGGCCAAAGTTTCTGCTTATGACGATGAGGAGGGTTGGGCGATCGTGGCGATGTTTCTGTCGACGGGGTACTGCTGATGACGCTCATTGTTACGATTGTGGTTGTGTTGATGATGATGATGATGATGATGATGATGATGATGATGATGATGATGATGATGATGATGATGATGATGATGATGATGATGGTGCTAGTAGTTGTGATAATGATTTCGATGATGCTGATGAGGAGCACGATGATGATTCGGATGCTGCAGATGGCGACGCTCACGATAATGATGTTTCTGGCGATTTGTTTGTGGACGCTGATGCTGGTAAGGGTGATGGCGCTTACTATGACAATGCGCATGTTGTTGGTGTGGGTCCGTGACAAGGATGCTGTTGATGGTAGAAGGTTGGCTTCCGCGATGCGGATGTTGATGCTGACGGGATGTTGACGCTTACGATGATGATACATGTGTTGTTGGTGTGGATACTGATGACACTGATGCTGCCCATGATGTGGTCGAAGATGCCGATGACAACGATGCTGATGCTGTCCATGATCATCCCACTGGGCTTTGTCCCACCCCGCCACCGTGCCTGGGTTGTGGGCCACTGTCCTCGGGGATGCCTTTTCGGGCCTCTTCAGAGTATTCCCGGAGGCCTCTGGAGGGCAATTCTTGACGCCTCGCACATTCCCACCGGCCCATCCAGGAACGATGCCCAGGAGAACTGACGGGAGAAGTGGGGAAAGACGCACATCGTGAAACAGCGCGGGCAACAACGGTGAATTGGGAGATCTGTGGTAGCGAAGGGTGTTTGTTTGTGCTGTTGCTGGTGCTGTTGCTTCTGCTGGTGCTGTTGCTGCTGCTGCTGCTGGCGTTGCGGGTTCTCGTGCCGCTGGTGTTGCTGCTAGTGCTGGTGGTGGTGGTGGTGGTGGTGCTGCTGCTGCTGGTGCTGCCGCTGCTGCTAGTGCTGTTAGTGGTGGTTGTGGTTCTGCTGCTGCTGCTGGTGTTGCTGCTGGTGCTGACGGTGATGGTGGAAACAGGCTGTGTAACAACCGCCTCAGACGCGTTTTCCCGGAGGTCTCTTGGAGCCATCTTGGGGGTCTCTTGGGGGTCTCTTGGGGTTTTCTTGGGAGCCCTCTTGGGGCATTCTTGGGGTTCTTTTTGGGTGTCTTGCGGCCCTCTTGTGGTTCTTTGTGGGGGTCTGGGAGGCCATTCAAAAACTGAGATGTTTTCAATGTACGTTTCTCTCTCGGAGGCTTAAAAAGGGCATCTTGGGACCCTTTTTGGCTGCTCTTGGGCGCTCTTGGGGCCGTCTTGGGGCCTTCTCCAGCCCCTCTTGGGAATCCCTTGGGCTACCATGGGCCCATCTTGAGGCCTCAAGAGCCCATCGGAAGCGAAAAAGCGAAAAGGCTAAAAAAAAACATTGTAGTTGCAAACGCTGTCGGCTATTTGGTGCCAGACGATAGCCGATGAAGGCAGACGATAGAAGACGATAGCAGACGATTGCATTCAAGTGCCTTGTTGCCTCCTGTTTGCCCCTTGCGGTGCCTGCAGGCCCCGCAGCTGGTTTCGTGCTATCGTCAGTTTTCGTCTGCAGCGGGTCCTGGCAGCTCCCAGCTGGTCCTAGCGTCTGCTATCGTCCGCTATCGTCTGCTGCAGACGATAGCCGACGACAGCCACCCCCGGCGGCCCCTATCAGATCCCATCGTCTGCTATCGTTGACACCGTTTCTCTATCGTTTGCAGCGGGCCCTGGCAGCCCCTAGTTAGCCCTATCGTCTGCTATCGTCTGCTGCAGACAGACGGTAGCAGACGACAGCCACCCCTGGCGGCCCCTATCAGATCCTATCGTCTGCTATCGTCTGCAATCGTCTCCACCGGTTCTTGGCGGCCCCCAGCTGGACCTATTGTCTGCAATCGTCTGCAGCGGTTCCTGGCGGCCGCTAGCTGGTCCTATCGTCTGCTATCGTTTGCTGCAGACGATTGCAGACGATTGCCACCAGTGGCCCTAATGCGTATATCGGCCCCTGCAGTCGATGCCCATCCATCAACGATGCCCAGGCGAATTATCTTGATCAGGGAGAGGATGGTGAGTGGAGCGAGGAGGGGGAAAGAGGATGAGGAGAAGGAGGAAAACGAGGGGGAGGAGGAGAGCGAACGGAATTGGGCAGTGGGAGGAGGATGAGGAGTACGAGAATGAGATGGGGGAGGAGAAGTGGAGTGTGAGTGTATATGGGTGTGCGCCTGAGTTTGAGTGTGTATGAGCTTAAGCTTATAGGAGTGTGAGTGGTCTGTTTGTGAATGGGTCCGTGTGCGTCGATGCCCATCCAGCAACGATGCCCAGGCTAATTATCTTGAAGAGAGAGAATGGGGAGGGGAGCGAAGAAGGGGAAAGAGGATGAGGAGAAGGAGGAAAGCGAGGGGGAGGAGGAGCGCGAACGGAATTGGGTAGCAGGAGGAGGATGAGGAGTACCAGAATGAGAGGGCGGAGGAGAAGTGGAGTGTGAGTGTATATGAGTGCGCGCCTGAGTGTGACTGTGTATGAGATTTAGCTTCTAGGAGTGTGAGTGGTCTGTGTGTGAATGGGTCTGTGTGCTACTGGGTTTGATTGTGCTTGCGTCTGGGTGTAAGTGAGTCTGAGTGCGGATGAGTCTGAGTATGAGGTATGAGTGAGTGTGACTGTGGGGGAGACTGAGTGTGAGTGCAGGTCGGGCCTTGAATCTGGAGTTTGAGTGCGTCCCGGACCGAGTTCCAGCGGTCCCAGGGCCCGAAAACAGCTTCCACATGGCCTCACTGGACTCGCCGGACTCACCGGACTCACCGGACTCACCGGACCCACCAGCGCCAGCGGAGGAGGCGCTGGACTCACAGGACCCGCCGGACCCACTGGACTCGCCGGACTCACCGGACTCGCCGGACCCGCTGGACTCATCGGACTCGCCAGACCCGACCCACCGGATCGGCCGGGCCCACCGGACTGGGGCAGCAGGGTGCACCATCCTCGGAACGTTCGGTTTCGCTATCGTAGGCCCATCGCCGATCTATGTCGGCGGCGAGCCCATGGGGGGGAAGTCATAGGGGGCGGGCTTTCTCACAAGGCTCAGGATGCCGGAGGGCTTCTGAGACGCCCTCCCGCCTTCCGAGAAGGCATGCCCCCTCTCATCCCCCTTGGGCTCACCGCCAACTCTCGGCGATGCATCGCCGATCCAAGCTCGATGCCCCTCCCTGAGCAGGTCCCTTTCTACGTTGCGCCTCAGACTGTGAAGGGGGAGCTGGTTGCTGAAGCTGCCGCGTGCAACCAGTTTCGGCGCTCCGCCGCTGGGCGCCCTTCTTGTATCGAAGACGCCCCCGGCGAATCACCGCCGCCACCCGCCCCTGGACGCGCTCGTGTGGCCGAGCGTTGTAATCAGAACTCGGCCACGCCAACGGACCGCGTGCTCACCCAGCCGTTGTGGGAACCCGTCGGAGAACACTTGGGATGAGGAAGCGGAGGAGGACGCGAGGGAGGAAAGATGATGATGATGATGATGATGATGATGATGATGATGATGATGATGATGATGATGATGATGATGATTATGATGATGATGATGATGATGATGATGATGATGAGATGATGATGTTGCTGATGATGATGGATGATGATGATGATGATGATGATGATGATGATGATGATGATGATGATGATGATGATGTTGCTGATGATGAGATGATGGGAGGAGGGGAGGAGGAGGAGGAGGTGAGGGAAGAGGAGGAGGAGGAGGAGGAGGAGGAGGAGGAGATGGGGGAGGAGGAGGAGGAGGAGGAGGAGGAGGAGGAGGAGGAGGAGGAGGAGGAGGCTTCTTGGAAGCTTTTGGGGCACTATTGGGGCCTTCTTGTGGCTTCTTTGAGGCCTCTTTGGGCGCCTTTCATGTATCGAAAACGCCTACGGTGAACCAGCGCCGCCCCATGTTTATTGGAAACGCTCATGTGGCCAAACTTTGGGCCGAAGTCATGCAACTCTATTGGACTATTCCCCCCGCCGTTGTGGAAACCCTTGGGGGAAGATTTGTGGAAGGCAGAGGGAGGAGGGAGGAGGAGGAGGGGAGGGAAGAGAAGGAGGAGGAGGAGGAGGAGGAGGAGGCGGAGGATGAACGGAAGCATCCGGTGAGCCTCTTGGGGGTCTCTTGGGGGCTTCTGAGGGCCTCCTGGGGCCTCTTGAGGGCCTGGTGGGGGTCTCTTTGGGGGCCTCTCGGGGGCCTTTTGGCCTTCGCAGACCCTCTTGGGCGCGCCCCTGGGCCGTCGTGGGAAATTAGTTGGTGCTTCAGGGACGTCTTCGGGCCATCTTGGGGCCATCTTCATCTTGGCGGTCTTGGAGGCATTTTGGGACTGTTTTGGAGGCCATCTTCGGGCTACGTATCTTGGGATCTCCCGGGGCCGTCTTGGCTGCGTCTTGGGGGCCAATTTGGAGGTCATCGTGGGCCATCTGAGCCGTGCTGGAGGCGTTTTGACCAACAAGAGGTGGATGCTGCGGAGTTGTAATGCTTTCCGTGTGGCCAGCGGGTTGGGCCGAAACCCCATTGAGAGTTCGTCAAGAACCAACAGCCACCAACAATTCAGTACGCCGTGCACTCCTGCTTTCTGGAAGCACCTATGTGGCCGAACATTATGACCAGAGCTCAGCCGAGCTATCAGAACATGTGCCCCCTCAGCCGTTGTGGAATTTCTTCGGGGAACACGTGGGTGAGAAGAAAGAAGAGGAGGAGCGATCTCGTTAGGCTTTCCTAGCGGTTCTCTCGGAAGCCTTTTGAGGGCCTCTCGGGCCGTCTCGGGCCGTCTCAGGCCCACATTGGGCCGTCTTAAAGACAGATTGCGGCCATGCAGGTCTCTTTTGAGGGCATCTTGGCCGTCTTGAAGGCCATCTTGAATGCTTGGGAGGCCTCTTGGGCCGTCTTGGGCCCTCTGATGACCGACTCGGGTGCTTCTTGGGCCGTCATTGGGACATCTTGGAAGCCTCTGCGACGATTTTGGGGCGATCTTCGGGGTTTGTTGGGCTTGGACCGTCGGAAGACCGTAACAGAGCAAACGCCAAACATCTTCAAGCACCTGACGAAAATCAATAATTGTTGACGCTTCGCGAATCCCCACCAGCCCATCCAGAAACGATGCCCAGAGGAATTGCCTCGATCAGGGAAGCGGGCAGCACAGAGAGGAAGGGTACCCCAGTGGAGGCTTCTTGGAGCGTCTTGGGGGCCTCTTGGCGGTCCCGGACGCCTTTTAGAGCGTCTTGGGTGCCTCGGAGAGCTTCTTGGGGCCTCGTGGGGGTCTCTTGGGGGCCTCTTGGGGGCCTCTTGGAGGCCTCTTGGGCGCCTCCTGGGGCCTCCTGGACGCGTCTTGGGGCCCTTTTGAAGCGCTCTTGGGAGCCTTGGGAGCGCTCTTGGAGCCCTCTTGGGCCATTCTGGAGCCATCTTGAGACCTCGCGGAGAAGGCCAAAAAACATAGATTTCCCTAGGTGTTGGAAGGATTTGGGCCTCTTCGGGGCCTCCTGGGGGAGCTCGTTGGCCCCCTGGAGTCCTGGAGCCGTCTTGGAGCGGTTTTGGGGCCTCTTTGAGCATCGTGGGCGCCATTTTGAGGCATCTTGGGATATCTTGAGCCATCTTGGAGATCATCTTTGGCTCTCCCAGGCGCTCTTGGAGTCATCTGAAGCAATGCCCCCCCCCCCAGGAGGCCCAAATGTGTCCAAAACCAGAGTAACATCAACGATGTTGGCATTGTCGCCGAAGCCTCTTGGAGCGTCTTGGGTGCCTCTAGGGGGTCTCTTGGGGCCTCTTGGAGGTCTCTTGGAGGTCTCTTGGGAGCCTCCCGTAGCCGTTTTGGCTTAAGATGCCTCTGCCCCAGCGGTGTCCAATGGATACCGCTGGACCGCGGACAGATCTGGAGATTCCGGGGGCGGCGCCCCTACAACTCACGGTGCCCGAGCAGGTGTGCGTGCCATGGCGGCGTGGGCGCCACCGTGGCGCGGTGGGTGCAGTGGGAAAAGCAAGTGGTCCTGCAGCTGCGGGACAGAGGACAACTACGCGACGAGGAAGCACTGCTGTGGGTGTGGGGCTAAAGCACCACGGCGGCCGTCCACCTTCAAAGAAGCGCTGCTGGGCCCGTCCAAACGGGAGGTGGCGATGCAGAAGAAGCTGGACGTGCTCACGCAGGAGCTCACGGCGCCCAGGGGCAGCGGCAAGGTCGGCAAGGAAGAGACTGTGGATGGGGCGAAAGAGGCACCGCAGGTCGACCTGGCGAGGCTCCACAAGTGGGCGCAGGCGTGCAAGAGCGAGCGGGGGCGGGGGAACTCGGAGGAGTACAAGGCAGCTTTCGCGAAGTACCAAGCGGCCAGGGCTGAGAAGGACAATGCCAAGCCGCACTCCGTGCAGCTCACGCAGGCGAAGCACGCCAGGGAGAAGTTGGAGAAGGAGGTTGAGGCGAGCGCCAAAGACGTCAGCTGGCACGAGCAGCAGCTGGAGGAGGCGCGAGCCAAGTACGAGAAGAAAAAGGAGCAGCTGCAGATGGCGACGGCCAAGGAGCAGGAGCTCAAGGTGCAGGACTGCGGAGTCCGTGAGTCGCCCGAGTTCCTCAAAGCCACGCAGAGGCACTTCGAGGACGCGGTCGACGGCAGCGGAGTCACCAAGGAAGAGTACCAGCAGGTATCCGACCTGCTCGGCAAGGTCATGGCCAACGCGAAGCAGGAGGACGTGGACATGGCTGCTGCAGGTGGCGCTGATATGCCTCGGGCACATGGTGCAGGTCGGAGCGCAGGAGCACCAGGAGCACCAGGAGAAGCAGTTGGGCAAGCACTACCCGAGGAAGCAGAACTCCCAGAGCCCACTGCTGAAGAGCAGGGATGGCTCAGGGCAAGCAGAGTACCAGAAGAAGCTACACCTGATCAACGGAAGCGTTGGCAGGAGGTGTGCGCCAGCCTGGCCGGGCAGGCAGCCAAGAGACAGCGGCGAGGGCAGCAAGCGCAACAGGAAGCCCCAGCATGATACGGTCACCCAATGGACGTGCTACGAAGCGCAGGAGCTTCACCTGAACACGGACAAGCTCGCGGTGGTCACGCAGAGCATGAAGGCAGAAGGTTACCTCATGGGTGGCGCTGCGGCGGTGGCCACAGCGGGACCCAATGGCGAGCCAGGCACGTCGGCAGGCGTGGCGGCTGTGGCGTCGGAGCGAGTTGGGATGAGTTACATGTTTGGCAATGATGACTATGGCATTTCCCCGCAGGCCAGCCCAGGCAGGGCGGCAGCGGCGTGGCTCTCAGTAGGCAGAGGTATTGTGCTCGCCTCCGCGTGCTTGTGGACAGCGGAGGGCATGACGCACAGGAAACACGCAGCGGATCACACATGCGATTGGAAAGTTGCAGAGTTTCCGGGGGCGTGCCGCGGGTCATCGGGGTCATCGGGGGCGACTTCCAGGCGGCGCCAGATGTCATGGCGAACGTGGCGAGCGTTCAAGTTGCGAAGGCCACAGTGGTCACGGCCAACGCAGCGTGCGGAACCTACAGGCACGCGCGTGGCAACAGCGAGATCGACTACTTCGCGGTGGCGAACTCGGTGATCGCGCAGGTGGAGCGCGTCGCGGTGCAGGAGACGTGGCCTGCGGCGCCACGTAAACCAGTGGGGCGCACGCTCAAGCTGAAGGCGGAGCAGCTCAGGGTGAGGGTGCTCGGGGAGCCGAAGGAGTTGCCAGAGGTGCCGATCGGGGGCGTACCCAAGCCACCGAGATACGCGGACGTTAAGGAGTTTAGCACACAGATGGCGGCGAACACCGAGTGGACCAAGTACATGCAGGTGCTGGAAAAGGAGGCCGTCCAGGTGCGAGGCATGAAGTGGGAGGCGAGTGGCCCACACGCAGGCAGGGCGGAAGAGCCCACGTGGCGAGTCAAGCCCCTGACCTTCGGGGGCGCAAACGCACCGACAGCGGCTAGGGCAGCGACCTGGTGGAGATGGGCTACGCGAACTTTGCGCAGCTTGCAGGGCGCGCACCAACGGTGGCGGATGGCAAAGGAGAGGGGCCCTGACGAGCACCAGAAGCGGAAGCGCGAGGTTCACCACGCGGAAGGCTCTTCCAGGTGCGCCCCCACCGAATGAAGTACATCAGCGTAACGGACCAGGGTATATGGCAGGCCAGGTGCGACGTGACCGTCGCGAGCCATCTGAGGGACGTCAGCAGGGGCGAGACCTTCCAGGCCTGGGTGAAAGAAGCGGAGAGCAAAATGAAGACAGTCGATCAGCAGTTGCTCAAGGACAGGCCAAGTGGGCTGACAAGCTGGAGGCCGCGGCGGCAGGTGCGGCAGGAAGGCTCCGCAGGATGAGCAAGGCAGCTGCGGTGTGGAGGCCTAGGAGTGCAGATACGATGGCCAAAGCAGCGGACCCCATGGAGGCGGCGGAGTTCACCTTCGCTCAGCGGAAGGACGTTTGGCGGGTGGGCGAGGTCTACCAGGAGGAACCATGGCCTTGGGGCACGAGCCCAGGGATGAGCTGGATGACTACCCCGAGGAGGACGTCAGCAGGCTGAAGGAGGTGGTGCGCACCTTCATGAAGCGCACAGGTATTGGGGTGGACCGCTGGCACCCGTCGATGCTGCAGGGAGCGAGTGACGAGGCGTACAGCAAGCTGCTGGACACAATGCGGGAGGTGGAGCGTGCGCTGGGGTGGCCGACCCACATGGGCACGGTGCTGTTCTTCATTATCCCGAAGCCCTTCACGACAGATAGGGTTATAGGGCTCCTGCACACCACCATACGTATATGGGAGATCATGCGGGCGCCGTACATGACTAGGTGGGCGGAGGAGAACCAGAGGAGCTGGGACTGCACCAGCTTCGGCAAGGCGGCGGAGGACGCTGCACGGGACGCGCTGCTGAGTCACGAAATGGATGATCCAGAGGGCCAGAGCGAGGAGCTGGAGGCCACGATCACGGCGGCATTGGACCTGATCAAGGCCCCCGAGCGGGTTAGCTTGTTTGTCTTATGGGAGGCGGGCAAGCAGTTGAATTTCAGCACGGGGGCACTGGCAGTGGTGCGCTCGCACTTTGCGATGGCCAGAAGGCTGATTGCCGGGGGGTCCGTCTCTAGCGCCACCAGCACGGTGGGCGCGATCGTAGCAGGGGGTAAGTTTTCGGTGCGCTTCCTGAAGCTGGTCATCCAGTCTGCGGTGGATGGCCTAGTGGTGGAGAGGCATCGGGCGAAATGGCGCATGCATGTGGACGATCTATGTGTGCGGCTACGCCAGCAGCGGCAGTACATCTTGCAGGACTTCAGCGACACCATTGACGCCTGCTTCGGGGGCTTCGACAAGCTGGGCCTGAAGCTCTCGGTGAGTACCCAGGGCGAAGAAGCCGCCATGGCCAGTGCCAAGTGGGTGCGCAGGGCGGCGGCGAAGGAGATGAAGGCGCGTGGGCTGCCCGTGGTGCGGGCGCGCCCGTACTTGGGCGTCGACCTCATCGCGAACGGCGCGGCAGCGAAGACCAAGCGCGGCAAGCGATGCAAGACCATGCTGGACAGAAGTCGGCGGCTTGCGAATCCCAAGGGCGGCGGCCGCAAGATGGCCAAGGGCGCGGCGTTGGTCTTTAAGTGCGGCCTTAAGCGCTCGGTGTTGTACGGGTGCAAGTGCTTGGGCATGCCGGACCATCAGCTACGGCGAACTCGGCGACAAGCGGGACGAGCACTACCAGGAGGGCGTGGAGCCAAGAGCCTCGCGCTGCAGCTGGCGCTGGCGAACGAGGAGCCCGCCTACGAGGCCACCGAGGCGCCCATCGTCCGATGGGCAAGGGCAGTATGGGAGGAATCGTCAAGAGCTGGACGGCCAGGTGCGAATCCCGAGCACGTCTTGGGATCCATGGATTACAAGTCGTCATGTGCTGGAAGGACAGGGGCAAACCTAGAGCATACCTTGGGCAATACGGTGGAATTATTGATGAAGGCGTGGGGGCGCCAGCAGCAATAGGTACGCATGAAGCCCATGTGGGCCAGGGTACGCGGGCCTGCGGGGGCGGTGACCACGTCGCCCAAGCGTGCGCAGTGGACGTGGCCAGCCTGGGCATGGGGGAGGTGCGCCCCATGGATGTCGCGGGGATGCCGCGGAAGGACGTGCAGCGGAAGCTGCGGCAGGACTGGGCGGCGGCGGACGAGTACGCAAGCCTACGGCCAGCGCCGATGGTGGCCCCAGCGGTGGCGCAGCTGAAGGCGCGGGACTTCCCGAAGCACGCCAAGAGCGCAGCGAGGAAGGCCTTCATTGGCGGGGGCTGGTCCATGAGCAAGCGTTGCGAGTGCAAGATCGTGCCAGCGGACATCTGCTTGGCGTGCGGGGAGGCGGTGGGCACCCCGCACCACGGGCATTTCAAATGTCAGGCCTTGAGGGAGCGGCGCTTGCATGCGCAACCTGAGTGGCAGACGGTGGCTGCGCAGCAGGAGGATAGCTTGCTCTGGGCGCGGGGGCTGGTGGGGCACCCAGAAGAGGACTGGAAGTCCGAGGGCGTCGATGAGGGCCAGCTCATGTGCCAGACCGTGGAGGGCGATGAAGACTACTTCACAGGTGACATCGTGTGCGACGGGCCCAATATAGGTTACAGTGAGTGGGCGCAGACGGGTTGGGCGGCCATGTCGATCAACGAGAACGGGACGCCGAAGTACCAGATGTGGGGGCCACTGCCGTGCACGCTCCCAATGCATAGGGAAATCAAGCGCGCGGAGATGTGGGCCTTTTACAAGGTACTGGAGGCAACATACACAGTGACCACAGGGGCATCATCGAGGGCCTGCACAAGGGCGAGCGATGGTGCATCAGCTGGAAGCGGCCGCACGCCGACATCTGGAAGCGCATCTTGCACAAAATTCGTGACCTCGACCTGGGTGTGAACGGGGTTTTCCACGTCAAGGCGCACAGGCCCAAGGCGAAGATCGAGCAGCTCACTGGCACGGAGCTCAGGATCGCGAAGGGCAATGCGGAGGTGGACCTGCTAGCCAAGGCGGGGGCCGAGGTGGGCGCGAATGACGGGAAGCACCAGACGGTGGAGGCGCCGGCTGGCCGTGCACGCTGGGCGGCGCAGAACATCGGTTGGTGGCACCAGCAGATGGAGGGCGAGTGGCCAGACGTACCGAAGCGAGTACGTGGACGACCACTACGCCGACAGCCAACGCCACTAATCACTCTGACGAGGCACGAGGTGAAGGAGTACGGTGGCTGGGTGTGGTGTGCGCGGTGCGGTGGGCGAGCTGCTACACAGCGCATGAGGAGGGAGCTCTGGGAGTCGGACTGCCAGCCGCCGCCGTGGACCTCAGCGGGTTCGCGCAATGCAGGCAGGGTGGGCTCCCTGGAGGCGAGCGTCGCGGTGGTGATGACCGCAGCCGCTGCAGCAGCGGCAGGGGCGCAGCTTGCAGAAGAACCACCACGACAAGCACCAACAGCACCTGTGCAGGAGGACGGACCGCGTCAGCACAGAGTGGAGGTGCATTGGCCGTGCGCGGTGTGCACGGCGTGCGGGGCCTACTCTGCGCGGAGGCGGGCGGGCCTTCGGATCGCCTGCACGGGGCCGCTGGCAAGGAGGGGCCTCAGCACAAAGGACGACGCCAAGCGCAAGAAGGGGCAGGAATCTGGCTGAGAAGAATCCGCAGACGGGGAAGCCGCTGGATGACGGGCTCCAGCTGCGACGTGGGTGGGTACTACGGGATCTTCGAGGAGATCGGAGTTCTTCCCTGTCGGCGGGATCCGCTACAGGCATGGGGGAATTTTTTTTAAAAAGGTATATTTGGGGCCTCCTGGGGGCCTCTTGGGGCTTCCTGGTCACCTCATGGGGCCCTCTTGGGGCACCCTTGGGAGCCTTGGGGGCCATATGTGGGCCATTTTGGGCGAGATCGATCACAGGTGGGGGGGGGCTAATTTCAGCCCCCCCCCCAGGAGGCCAACATGGAGCCAAAACCATATTAAAATAAATGATTCTGGCTTCCTCGCCGAGGCCGTTTTGGACGCTCCGACGACTCGCGAGGGGTAATCCCCTCCCCGAAGGGGAAGAAGGAGGGGTGGAACAGGATTCTCCGTAAACCACCTGCGCCCAGAGGGCTGGTGGGATTTTGGCCTCGTCAGGCATTCCTGTGCTTCCTCTTGGAGTGGGCCGTGTTGGGTAATCTGGACGCACGTTTTTTTGAATGCGCGTGTCAGGCATATTGGAGAGATCTTTCAGCCATCTTAGGCCCTTCGGGGCCCTCTTGGCCGTCTTGGAGGCGTCTTGGGACCATGTTGGGGACCACCTGAGGCCGTCTTAGCCGTGTCGGAGGCGATGTGACCAGCAATAAAAGGTTTTCCGGCGGTTTTCCAGGTGGCTGGCGGGTTGTGCCGAAGCCCTACTCCGAGGTCTTTAGAAAAGATCCGAAACCACCCAGACGTCCAGCACGCCAGGCATCCCTGTGATAAATCATCAGGGGGCGGCGGATGACAGAAAGCGCGCGTAGCGTTGCGATCCGTGAGTTGGGAGAACTGACAACGGAGAGTGCGAGGTGGTTGGCAGGCTCGTCCCAGATCTAATCGCCCCAAGGATCTGCCATGCTCGGCTCTAGATGAAGCAGCCCCAAGAGCGCCCGAGACGGTCCAAAAGGCTCCCAAGACGGCTGAAGACACTTCCAAAACGTCCTCATCAGGGAGGTCCAGGAGGAACCCAACACGGCCCAAGAGCGCTCAAGGACGGTCCACGATCAGTTCAAGACGACCGAATCGGCCCTCCAGACGCTCCAAGAGGCCCTCAAGAGGACCCCCAAAAGGCAAACGATCGTCTCCTTCCTACGGGAAATGCGCATGGTTGGCACATTCGTGTCTCTGTTTTCATACCGTCTATGACGGCCAAAGAGGCCCCCATCACCGCCCCGAGACGGCTCAGTGGCCATTTTGGCTCAAGCCATGCCGCTCCAGCGCTCGATCCCCGGTGTTGCGTTCCCCCCTACACCCCCGGCCGCGTTCAGCGAACACCGAGGCGGTCCGCCTTGTGCAGACGCCATGCCTTCCAGGCAGGCGTGTGCCTCCGCTGTCGTGACGCGGAAGAACATCGACACCTCCGCCGTGGCCACGAGGAGCATCGAAGGCGGGTGGCAGCGGAACCCGGTCGGGGCGCCCGTCTTGCCTCGCGAGGAGGAGATCCCGTGGCCTGGGGGCTTGGTACGGGCCAGTGCCCCGTTCGAGGAGCAGATGTCGCTCAGCGCCTGGCGCGAGGCGGGGATCCCGTGGATGGCCTCTCTGGTGGAGGACATGAGCAGCGGCGGCGGCTCGGAGCGCCCGTCTCGGGTGTTCGGTTCGCCGACCCGGACGCAGCGGCGCCGGATGCAGCGTCAGATCAAGAAGATCACAGACAGGCAGATTGTGTTCGAAGGCTCGCACGGCACGCGGACTGTAGGCATGCCTCCAGGAATTTTCCTCCAGCCGGCATTGGCTTCTTGTCGGATGCTCTTGTGACGGTGGAACCGAGCGGCGTGGCGTGAGCCCGTCTGCTGACGATCAGCAGCAGCACAAGGCTCGAGCTCTAAACGGTGTTTCGGCGATCTCGTACAGGAATGCTGGGACGGTCAGTCCCTGCTCAACATTCGTGCTTCGCGCTCCGCGCTTCGGCTCCGATAGTATATATATAGTCCTCTTCTCCTCCTCCTCCTCCTCCTCCTTCTCCTCCTCCTCCTCCTCCTCCTCCTCCTCCTCCTCCTCCTCCTCCTCCTCCTCCTCCTCCTCCTCCTCCTCCTCCTCCTCCTCCTCCCCCCCGAGGGCCGCTGTCGAGGAACAACAACCGAGCGAGCACAGGAGCAGCTCGCTTGGGCTCGAGCTCTGCGGCACCTCGCCCTCCCCCCCCCCCGCGCGCCCGCGGGGAGCGCACGGGCTGGGGCGGCCGTGCGCCGAGCGCGCCGGCGGGGAAGGGCCCAGGTGGTGCCCCTGGCTGTCACCGAGCGCGTTCTACGACTCGCAGAGTGCCTACTCGCAAACGGTGTTTTGGCGAAGGAGGAGGAGGAGGAGCAGGATGAGGAGGAGGAGGAGGAGGAGGAGGAGGAGGAGGCGGGAAGGGATAGGGACAGGGGAGGAGGAGGAGGAGGAGGAGGAGGAGGAGCATGAGGAGGAGGAGGAGGAGGAGGAGGAGGAGGAGGAGGAGGAGGAGGAGGAGATGGACCTAAACGCTGTTTTGGCGATTGCGTGGGCCGTACTCGTTTCGATGTCGTCTTGCAGCAGAGGCTAATTCAAGACACAACGAGGAAGAACGAGCACAAAGCGAAAACGAAGCACACTATTTAGGTCCAGCCCTGTCGCAAACGTCCGAGCAACACATGCCTGCCTCGACGTAATGTACCGCAAGTCCCCCATGGCGGATACGGGCCCTTAGCGAGAGTAGCAGGACGTGCTTGCCTAGGATGGGATCCACCGCGGGGATCCACTGGCCATCATGGATGGCGAGACGCCGGCCGGGATCCACCGCGGCCCCATGATTAGGAGGGAGGGAGGGCGGGAGGAGGAAGCGTGGATTGAGCCGGGAGTGGTGCCTACCACCGAGCGCTTCCAAAGCGCCTCGGGGGCGGTCGGGCGACGGCCAGTATGCCTGGCCCAGTCTGCGCGGGGAGAAGGGCCTCCCGCGCGCCGCGGCTCAGCATACGGCGGGGATTGGCTACGACCAGCCCTGAGGGGGGGGAGGAGAGGGCGACAGTCCAGGATTTTTCACGCCATCAGGCATCAGGAATCAGGAATCAGGAGTCAGCCGGAGCTGGGGGAGAAGAATGAGCCTGAGCGCAGATGCCGTGTGATGCTGCACGGTTTGCCCCATGGATTGGCCATGCTGGTCTAAGATGGGAAGCGTCGCGCGGGCATACAAGGCGAGTACGCCTCCAATGAGTAAACGTTTAAACTTTGCCTTCGGCCGCATGTGGCTCTGTGTAAGCTGTGTGGTGCACTTGCCGTCGAGGTTTCTGCAAGGCCACAGGTCTCTTCACAGTTTTCCTCCCTCCCTGGCCTCGAGATCCTCTGTTCACCCTCGACCAATCTGCGCCGCGTGCGCTGGTAGCCTCGAGAGGGGGAGGCCAGCTTTGTCTTTTAACGTTGGCCTGGCTTCCTGGCCTTTCTCTTTGCTCCTCTCGGAGCCCGCAGTGCTCAACTATCAGGCAGAAAGGGCATTGAGCTCCCAAGAGATCGAGGATCAGGGATCGAGGATGGCAGGACGGTGGCGTGGCCGGGGGCAGGCAGGAGGGGAGGATGTCCGCCTTGCGCGTCCGCGCGCCTCGCACCGCTGCGGACGCCGTCTGCGTCTGAGGACATCGTGCCACCTGCGCCCCAGAGGGCTGGTGGGACTCTCGGCGGTGTGGCTGCAGCCCCGGTGGCGTCACGTGTTTGTTTGGGCGCAGTGCCCTCAGCTGTACACATTCGTCCCTGGTGGCGTCATGCATTTTGTTAGGGCGCAGTGCCCAAATGACAGGACAGAGGAGAAGATTGGAGACCCCTGTCGCACCTCTCCTGTCCGCAATTTGTTGAGCTCCAGTCTGACTTTCGAAATTGAGTTGGGGCCCCGTGTGGTCGGAGCCATCGGGGTCATTCCCCCCCTGTTTGGTCTGAACCACCGGGGTTCTTCTGAGCAACGCCCTGCAGCCTCTGCTGTATTCGTTGTTTCCACGAACAGCTTGCTGAACGGGGTGCTGATGTGGTAGAAGCTATTCTGAGAGCAACTGCCATCTCAAATCTGCCTGCAAAATAAGAACCGCCCCAAGACGGTCCAAGAGAGGCCCCTGAGGGTCCCAAAAGGCTCCCAAGAGGGCCCTAAGAGGGCCCCGAGAGGGCCCCAAGAGAGCCCCAAGACGGCCCAAGAGGGCCTCAAAACATCCCAACGACGGGCCCCAAGAGAGCCTCAGATGGCCTCCAGACGGAGGCTCGAGACGGCTCCAGAGGCCCCGAGAGGGCCTCAGGAGGCCAAAACTATTGATGTCCCTTGGATGTTTGACGGTTTTTCAGGTTCCCACCGCTTCGAGCCCAGAAGGGCCCAACACGGCCCACGAGGCCCCAAAGCACGTCCCAAGAGGGCCCCAGAGGCCCCCCAGAGGGGCCGACAACGGTCCAAGAGGGCTCCCAGACGGCCCAAGAGGGCTCCCAAACAGCCCCAAGACGG